TATATATATATATATATATATATATATAAATCAAAACAATTCGATATGCTATTTCACTAATCAGGTTGCAAAGGTGAAGAATATGGTAAAAATGATTGGGTACAAGGTGTGTGAGGGTTATTCCACTTTATTTATTTATTTATTTATTTATTTATTTATTTTAAAGTTTTTTTTTTAATGTTTATTTATTTTTGAGACAGAGCATGAGCTGAGGAGGTTAGAGAGAGAGAAGGAGACAGAGAATCAGAAGCAGGCTCCAGGCTCTGAGCTATCAGCACAGAGGCCGACACGGGGCTTGAACTCACACGCTGTGAGATCATGACCTGAGCTGAAGTCAGACACCCAACTGACTGAGCCACCCAGGCACCCCTCCACTTTAATTTTTTAATGTATTTATTTATTTATTTATTTATTTACTAGAAAGAGAGAACACTTGGATGTGAGCCAGGGAGGGGCAGAGAGAAGGAGAGAGAGAATCCCAAGCAGGCTCTGTGCTGACACAGAACTCAACATGGGGCTCAGTCTTACAACAGTGAGATCATGACCTGAGCCAAAATCAAGAGTTGGACTCTAACTGATTGAGCCACCCAAACGTATCTTTTTTTTAAATTTATTTTTTTTAATTTATTTTTTGAGGGGGGGAGGGGCAGAGAGAGAGGGGGACAGAGGACCCGAAGCAAGCTCCTCACTGACAGCAAAGAGTCTGATGCAGGGCTTGAACTCATGAACTGTGAGATTATGACCTGAGCCAAAGTTGGATGTTCAGCTGACTGAACCCTTTTAATTTATTTATGATTTATGATTATTATTATTTTAGAAGGGGGGTAGTTATTCCACTTTTCCTGAAGGGTTTTCTCTGCTTTATGTATCAAGAGCCTTAAAAATTTCCATAACCTTTGATTGAAACATTTTCCTCCTAGGAATTATCCTAAGGATATAATCAAAGATGTGAACAAGGTTACATGCAAGGATGTTTATTGCAGTGATAATTATATTAGCCTAATTGTAAATGTCTGATCGGGTGATGGTTGAATAATTAATGAAAAATGGACAGTCATATAATAAAAATTTTGAGCCAATAAAAATTACATTTTTGGAAAATACTTCCTTGACATGGGAAATACTCACCATATGATACTAATGAAAGCAAGTAGGGTGTAAAATGATGTGATGTGGTTCCAATTATTATTATTATTATATTATATTATATTATATTATATTATATTATATTATATGTGTATGTGTGTGTGTGCGTGTTATACAGGTATTAGAATGTGAAGTGAAATTTTTCTATTGAACTTTTTGTCAAAGCCCAAAGCTGAAAATAATTGATAATAGTATCCTCACATTCTCAAGAAAGGGGTTAAAATACAGTCTCGCATTATGTAGTATAAATTTTAGAAAGAAAAAGAAAAATTAAAGAAGCCTAGTACTTTAATTTTCCTTTCCTTTTTCTTTTTCAGAAGGAATGATCTGAGGTGAATGTATAGGGTTAGAGTGTGCTTTTCGGCACAGACCCTTGTGCCTGATGCTGCCCTGGAGGTATCTGAAAGTGAGAAATTGGCTGGGCAGAGAAAGGGGTGGGGGGCAGCAGTGGGACCCAGGCCTTGGTTTTACATTTGGGGTAAGTGCATGGGGAAATTCCTGGGGGATCCCCGCGGTGGGACAAGGAGCAGGAAAGACCAGGCCATTGCCTTCTTCTCAGCTCCCAGTCCCCAAGGTCCAGAAAGGCCTGGGCTGGTGGGAGAAAGCAGCATTGCCTTGATGTAGATCCCATGGGACTTTTTCACTTCTGCACATGCAAGGTTTTTGATGTCTGAAAGTGACGGGACAGCTGTGGCTCTGTCTGCATCATGGCCAAGGGCCAAGGACGGAGAAACTCAAGCTGTTTTACCTTTGTACTCAATCTAGCTCACCTCATTTAATAATCACTCCTAAAGTCACCAATCAAGGCTGGGAAAAATACACCAAAAACGGTTATCTCAAACCATCTCTGGGCAGTGAGAGGAGAGGTGCTTTTCAATGCCTTCTTTATATTTTTTCTATATTTTTCACATTTTCCAAAGTAAAACATGTGCACTTTTATAATAATTTAAACAGACATAAAAAAAGAAACATGGAGAGAAAATGGCTCAAGAGAAAAAAGAAGACCCAAAGTTAGAGCTTTAAAAGTAAATGCATTGCCCCCTTCTTAGTCTAATGAGCTGCCTATTACATCAGTATTTCTGTTGACAAGCCTTTTGTAGGTCCCCCTGTCTTCATTTTCATGCTACCACACCAGTGCTGACCCTCCCATCTCCCTCTTAGAGATGGCAGTGACCTCACAATTAGTGACCTTCCTCCCACCCACCTCCACACCCCAAGTAGGACCATCTTTCCAAACACTATCTCCTCTCTTTCATTGCTTCCCAATTGTTCCCCACCGGGG